TATTTTTAGTTGTCCAGATCATTTCTTTCTATTTTTTGGTAGAGACGGGGTCTCGCTCTTGCTCAGGATGGTCTCGACAAAGTTCTTTCTTGATGGGCCCCAAACGCACCTTTTTTGGCTTCTGGTAAAAACTGCTCTCCTGAAAGCCACATGTCACATCAAACAGGCCAGCATCCTCCTCAATACTTATTCTCAATCCTCATAAGGCACCCTAAGATAGCTCTCCTGTCCTCAGTCTAAAACATGCTAAGTCTCTACTCTGGTCATTTTCATCACTAATCCTCTTTGGGGAGGAGTTTTCTTTTCCTTCCTGTGGAAAACAGACAGAAGATTCTTGGGGCCCACCCTCACCAGGCTTTCAACTGTAACATTTTGGTACAGAGTTCTAGCTAATGAGGACATTGTTGCCTGACTGACAAATTGATCAAAACCACCAGGAAAGCAGACAAGAGCAATTTAAAACTTCTTTGGTTTTTCTTTTTTTATGAAGTCATAACATTGCATTATATTACACAAATGAGTATTAAAGGGAAATTAATTTTCCGGTGACATATGAAAACCATTTATACTTAAAGAAGATCTTAAACAGCCAATGCTAACCATTGTACACGGACTTCTGAATGAGGTTCACGTACATTTTACGAGTTTCAACAGCAGAATGTGGTGCTTTCCACTGGTGATGTTCACACTAATCCACAATATTCAGTAAACCTCAGTTGGAAGAGAGGAGAGAAGCTGAATTCCCTATTTTCATGACAATTAAGTATTAGTTACTAGATGCCTGAGTTCAGTGACATAACAGCCGAACTCAGGCATCTCATCCCACTGTGGTTCTGAGATCTTGATGTGGAATAAAGTAAGTCAGCCAGAATTGGATTATAAACATGCTTTATTATAAGTAGACAATGGACACTAAAAATGGTAAAGTAAATGGAATTTCAAATGGATAAAGAGGAAACAAAAAATTAAGGTATCCCTGTGGAATAGCTCAAAATAGGAGTGCCCCTCCCATATTATCTACAGTAGGTATTCGGGGGAGAGGATCCCACAGATTCAGACCACAACTAAAGGACCAACACAATTCTGTGATCAAATTCTACCTCCAGCCAGGTATTGTGACAATCAAGTTCTATTTAAATGATATTCGCATGTCTTCTCTCAGTCATAGTGAAATAATAGGACGATTGAGAGGAACTGAGAGCAATGGATTGGTCGTGCCCCTTGGCGAGGCTGGTGGCATGTGTATGGCTTAGTCCTTACCGGGGCTATTTTCCTGCATAGTCTTCATTATCCAGTCAACATAGTTCTTTACCCGTGTGTAGAGCCCATAGGTCCCACACTCGGGTCCCCAGGACACCAGGCCAGCTACATAGAATTTGGGATTCTTCTCATTGGGGTCCTGTAGAACGAAGGCCCCACCACTGTCCCCTTTACAGCTATCAACGCCCTTCTCTCCACCAGCACAGATCATGTTATCAGTGAAAATGTAGGACTCTACATCCACATTGGATTTTTTCTTTTTCACCTGTTGGCAATTTGATAAAGGAACTATCGGTAACTTTGCCCCTTTGAGATGGATAGCACGATCTCTTTTCTCCGTTCGGCCCCAACCTGAGATCATCCCCAGGTCTCCGACTGAAGGGTTATATTCGGAGGAGGTGCCCGGTAGGCAGATGGGGGAGACAGTGGGTCCCATTTCCACCGGGTCTTTCAGCTGCACCAGTGCAATGTCATTATCAAAATTCTTCCGTTTGTCTACGTCATCGAGCGGCTCCCAGCCCGGATGAATAAACACACGTTCAGCAACGAGCATCTGGGCATCGTCCAGATGCGAGGTCCGCACTAAGGTGGACCCGGCATACATGAGCGGCTGCTGGTTTCCCTCCACGACGTGGGCAGCCGTCAGCACCCAGTGCTCGCCAATAAGAGCCCCGCCAGCCCACGGGTTCTTAAAGAAGACTTGCCAGGGGAAACTTTGAATCTTGGCATCAGATCCTCCAAAGATCCTCTGTTTTTCTTTAAAGGGCTCGCTGGGGACTCCGCAGACTAGGAAGGAATAAGAGCGAGGTGGGGAAGGAGCAGGAAAGACGCCAGCCTCCTGCAAATCCTCCAGCCACTCACATACTTTCCTGCTGGGCTGCAGAGCTCTCTAGTATGACATGGCCAACCCTATTTGGTCAACCTTCTCAATACCTGACTCATCCTGGCCTTACCTAAACTTCCCACTTTGCCGATGCCACAAGTGGGCTTATGGGAGAGGTTGGTTGAACGGAGGCCGTGTGCACAGGACTCATCCACACGCGCTCATGCCTCGCACTCGGCCCCTCTGGAGACACGTCTCGCCGCAGGCTCGGCACAGGAGGCCAGGGGCCCAACCGGGAGCCAGTGCTGGGAAACTCTTTCCTCTCTGCCTCCTTCTGATGCCCAGATCAAACCCTGTCGCCTTCTTTACTGGAGTCCTGATTGCCCCTGCGTCCCTCCTCGTAACCCACAGGTCAGCCTGGGAAGTGAAGAGAGGGCGCCCTGCTTTGGTCGTGGCCTCTCACTCCCCAGTGCCTGGTTCCAGGTGTGACGGCTTTGCCATTCCCCGTATAACTGAATTTTAGATGAAGCCACTTACCCAAATCCCTCACTGGACAGTGTGGATGGACCTGAGTTGATCAAAGCCCACCCCTGCTACTTGCTAACTCCAGGGCTTACACTCAATCCACTCATCTCTCAAATGAGACCAGGAACACCCTCCTCACAGGGCTGTCACAAGGACGCGAACGAGACACTAAATGCAACGAATCAGCCCAGTTCCCGGCTCCTGATAATGCTGCTACTCCCAGGATGACTATTATTATCCTGGTTTTGTCCCGGCCACCTACTCAACTCTGAGCTCCCTGCACGCCCCATTTGTTGTATCCTCTGTATCTTGTTGCCGTGTACACTTTTCATCTAATATCTAGGCGATTTAACTAGTCTGGTTTCTGGGTGTTGATTCCTCACTCTCAACTTTCAGGCCCTGATCTCAGCAATTCTATGTCCCTTCACCACTGCGTTACCAAACCTAACTGGCCCTGACTCTGCCACCAACTGGCTTTTCTGTTTCCTCCCAGCCGGCCTGACTCAGTGTGGCTGAAGGACTTCCCCAGGGCCCTGGCAGGCCCCCACCCAGCGTTGCTGCCTCCTCACTGAGCTGGACTCCGGTAGGCCCGGACCCTTAAGTTTTTTCCCAAGAGGATTACAGCTACTTTCAGAAGGTGACGCCCACTAGCCCTCACCTGTGGCTATGTCTCCTCCCCAGCCTAAGCCCTGATTACCTGGAACACATTTCGGCAGCTCCGCGCCCAGCACCTCATTCACCCAGCTCCCGTTACCGGCGCAGCGATACTCCCCTGAAATAGCACAGAGAACACCGGTCACGCTCACCACCACATCTTGTCTCTTCCCCTTCATTCAGAGCCTCAGTTCTTCCAGATTTGAGTAGGGAATCAGATCAAATCAGCTTGAAAAAACTCTTGAGATCATCTCCCAAACTGTCCCTCAGGCCTCTATCCTGCCAGGAGAAGGGAAGGAAAAGTCTCCAAAGCAAAAGGAAGAAGGGTTATGGTAGAGATTGGGAAAATGCTTCAAGTGGGAAAAGAAAACAAAAATCAAATAAAACGAAATCAAATCAAAGGCCAGTCACGGTGGCTCACACCTGTAATCCCAGCACTCTGGGAGGCCAAGGCGGGAAAATTGCTTGAGGTCAGGAGTTCAAGACCAGCCTAAGTAAGAGCGAGACTCTATCTCTACAAAAAATAGAAAAATTAGCAGGGTGTGGTGATGCACACCTGTAGTCCCAGCTACCTGGGAGGCTGAGGCAGGAGGATCACTTGAGCCCAGGAGTTTGAGGTTGCGGTGAGCTATAAAGACGCCACTGCATTCTAGTCAGGGCAACAGAGCGAGATTCAAAAAAAAATTGAATCAAATAAAAAGCGATGTAGTGAGATGTATTGTGTCTAATCCAGCCCTTCATCTAGCACAACCAAGGCTCTATATCAAGAAAGCCGGTCATAGGCCGGGCGCGGTGGCTCACACCTGTAATCCTAGCTCTCTGGGAGGCCGAGGCGGACGGATTGTTTGAGCTCAGGAGTTCAAAACCAGCCTGAGCAAGAGCGAGACCCCGTCTCTACTAAAATTAGAAAGAAATCAATTGGACAACTAAAAATATATAGAAAAAATTAGCCGGGCATGGTGGCACATGCCTGTAGTCCCAGCTACTCGGGAGGCTGACGCAGGAGGATCGCTTGAGCCCAGGAGTTTGAGGTTGCTGTGAGCTAGGATGACACCACGGCACTCACTCTAGCCCGGGCAACACAGTGAGACTCTGTCTCAAAAAAAAAAAAAAAGAAAGCCGGTCATAATAGCATGGTGACTTGAAGCTAGAAGCATTGCTCCTCTGGGTTTTACATGAACTAACTGGCCAGAGAGAGGATAACCATATGAAACGGATGTTGTAGGGGAATTCCTGCTGCAGCTGTGGAGCTGAGTTGGTGACCTCTATGACTCCCTAAGAATGATCCTAGGGACCGTGTATCCTGCTCCATGTGAAAACTGTATCCTTAGACCACACCAGGGAATGAGTGATGTCTGTCCCATCTCCCTCATTTCTCTACAAATTCTCTCTGACCCAGAAAGACTGTGCAATTCACCATCGAACACCTTCTCACTCTTTCTCTCTCTTTTCTCTAGTAGGAGAAACCTACCACTGCCTTCATTTTCCATGTAGTAATACGGCTCCTCGCAAGTGTAGCGAGTGACAGAACCAAACAAAGTACTTTCTGGATCTTCGGCTTTACCGTGCTGAATGGGTTCAGGAGTGCCACAGTCCACAGCTACAAGAGGAAGGCAGGAGATTGATGGTCAGGACAGCCACTTCCTCCCAGGAAGAGTCACGGGGCCCGTTCCAACCTCACTCCTTCCCCACTCCATACCCATAAGCACACCTGGGATGACTCTTTCCACACCAGCCTCCCTCTGGCCATCCTTCCCAACTGGCATCACTCAACTCCCTAGCCACCGAGACTTGCCAACCCAGATGGCCCCTTGAAAGCTGCAAGAAGGAACTTGGTTCTCAGTGGTTGGTGGAGGGCCCCGTGGAAGCCAGGAATGCACCCGCAGGGGGCTGTTAGCTCTACCAATCCCACAGTTCCTTTCCTGGGAAGAAACCTGCCTGTCTAGCTGGCCTGGGACCAGATCAGGGCTGGGACTAGAAAAGCCTCCACAACTGGCTTCCCTTCAAAAACCCAAGCCACTCTCTCACAAGCCTAAGAGGAAACCATGCATTTGAATTTAGATGTGCTGCTCTTTCAGTTCCCTTTGGGAGGGGGAAAAAAGTTCCACTTTGAGGAGACACGTACGTTGACACTTCAGTTCAGAATTACTCCACTTTCCATTGCTTTGACAAGTAGAATAGAAAGACGTTGAGCCAACGCTTCCCTGGAGAATGATAGACATCACCATTAACTTATAAAGAGAGATGTGGAAAAGCAAAATCAAAAATGGAATTGATCTCTGGCCTTGGATCCATGAGGAGTCCTCATCGCAAGAAGCCTGGAGACATCTTAGCAGAACAACCCAAAGGACCCAGGAGATGGGGCTGAAAGGCAGCTTTGCCCCAGGGTGTCAGTTCCCACCCCCAGGAAGACAGGAGAGAGAGAATGCCAAGCCGGCCAAGGGGCCAGGGCTCACAAGGAAGAACAAAAGATCTTAAGCTGTTCTGCTTATGGAAAAGGTGTGATCCTTTGACCAAACAAGTACATTAGGTGAAGGACTCAACAATTTCAGTGCGCTCACCGTGACCTGGGGCGGGATGGGGAGAAGCCCAGGTGGTACTTTACCTCCACAACCTCAGACCCTTCCAGGCAGCTTATCTTCACCACATCTTTAAACACATATTTTGCCTTCTCAGGCTCCCAAACAGAATTGGCAGTGTCTTCTTTAGGACAGGGGATTGCTTGGAAACAACACAAATTGGGACAGAAAAAAAATTTACTAAATAGTTGGAGACTCTCTATCCAATTTACATCATTTTCACACTTTCCAAAATCATCCAGTTGTCCTCAGTCCTGATGCTTAACATTCCAATATGGCAGATGTCTACAGCAACATGGCATTACTACTAACCACCCCAAGCCGTCTGCCCTCTCAGGTCCAGCTGAGGGATTACCAGAGCTAGAGGCATTTCTGGAAACCATTGACAGATTTAGATTTTCTTGAGGAAGTGAAGTATCTCAGTATTCTATCCAAACAACAAGCTACCTGTTTTGATTCTACATCGTCCAGGGACTTTGGTATCCCCAACCAAAGAGCACTTCTAGGTTACTCACGTTCTCCATGGTAACGAAGTTTCCAGCCTTTTCCTTGCCCTGTTAGGTCGGTTTGGAATATGATAACAAGAACATTACTCCCGGTTTCAATGTTTGGTGGCCCAGGGAATCCGTTACCACAGTAAGGACCAAATTGCTGATCTCCTGCAACAAACTGAAAGGAAACAAAATGATGAAATGAGAAGAAAGAAAGAACTAAAGAAAAGGTAAAATGGGAGTGGGGGTAAAAAGAAGGGAGGTAGTAAATGTAATACAAAATAAGAAGAAGGAAAAACAGGAAAATAGGGGGCAGGAGAAAAGACAACTTTGTCTTCAAGGAGAACTCTCTCCGTGTGAGTTTGGGGAGGGGGAATTAACCAACCATCACGCACAACTAAACTGTCAGGGCAGTTTCCGTCTGAATCGGCCGGCTCCACGTCAAAATCTCTCTGCACAGTCACCACTATTTGGAACCCCTCCTCCAGCAGGACCTGGTATTCGCACCGTGAGTTCTCTGGGTATTCATTGGGATAATTGGGACTTGCGATCTCCCCAATCAGTGCCGTGAATACGTCCCCACTACAATTGACTGAGGGAGAAAAAGAGACAGAAGAAGAAATGTAGAGTGAAGCAGAGGAGCTCCTGCCCTGTTCTAGGATTCCTTCTCCCACACGCTGACAGTCCTCCATCCAGACTAGCCTGGGATCCACACCCTGACCAGAGCGCACGCGGAGCAGTCACACACCCACACATACCGGGAGGAACAGCCAGCGCCCATTAGGCTTCCCCCCGTGCTTATGACGGAGCCCGTCGTGGTGATGAACGGCCCCCGGCAGGCTCTTCGCAGGTGTCTCTCTCTCTTCTCCAGTGAACTAACTCTACCCTGTGGCCTTGTCTTCCTCCCCTCTGTGGCTCCCCCTCAGCTTATGAGTAACTGAGAATAGACGCCAAAAGAAGGCTGGGCCTAATCAAAACTGGAAGGGTGGACAAAGCTCCTTCTGCGGCCTCAAGCCATTCCAAATCCCAGGGAGCACGCGGCTCTCCACGCCACGCTCACCTCCGCAATTCCTCATGTCGGCATGGAGGAAGTATTCCGGAGGGCAGGAGCAGAAGTAACCACCAATGAAGTTGTTACAGAAGTGGCTACAGGGGGCGTCAGCAAAATCTGTGCACTCATTTACATCTACAAAGAGGAGAGAGACACTGACGTCAAGAACAGACACTGAGAAGAGAGAATGAGGTTAAACCCAAAACTGCAAGGGGAAGAAAAACTAAGAAAGGCGCATTGCTTGAAGACCCTCAAGGAACTACATTTCAGGACGGTATTATCCCACATTCCTCTCCTGAAATGCGGTGCCAGAGCTGAGCCCTACCATTGCACAGCCATAAGGGAGCTCTTAACGCCAGACACCCTTGACTGTGCTCACGGACGGAGCGTTTCAGCTCCGGAGACAACCCTCTGCAGGCCCAGCATCGTGGCAGTGTCTTCCGCAGGGAGGACTAATTAGTACGGTCTTTGCTTTACATGATGTCAGTACTTCTACCAAATCTAAACAATAGTTTGCCTTTGTGTTCTAACTTCATTCTAACCTGGAGATAGATGTAGAAGCACCCAGAACTTGAAGGTACGAATGCCACATAGTGAACGGGTTGGAATACCACACCTTACTTGTGTGATTCTTGGCAAGTTATTAACTTTCCTAGTCTTCACTTTCCTTATCTTTACAGAAAGATAAGGAAAGTTGAAGTGAGTTGAAGTGAAGACTATGTTAAAATAGGTAAAATCCCCAATATAGTACCCAGTTCATAGTGGTTCTCAATAGCCTACTGTTTATTATCTATCGCTGCCATGCATGTCATCATCACCACCAAGGTACGATCATGTGTTTGAATTCCACAAGGGGACCCAGGGCAAGTCAACACTTTGTAAGAATTATGAACAGACTTCTCATTTAATGTGTTGCTCTGTATTCTTCCCAATTCTAGTGTTTGAGCTAAGTCGGTAAGGCACATACAAAAGGGTGAGCCTTACCTATGGCAGCGTAGTATGCAGCAAACCCAGTAAAACGCTCTTCATTGGAAAAGTCTGACTTAAAGGTCACCTGGAGTTGATTGTATGGTACTTGGAATTCTTCCACAATGGGGGAGTTGGGATTCTTGCTGGTCCTCTGTCCACAGAGTCTCCCTTCTTCAACGCCTCCTGACGTTATCTAAGAGAAGAGTCAAAATGAAGCTAGGAAGGGGTAATATTTTGGTACGGAGGTGAGAGAAAAGGGGACAGAGAGAGTAAAAGGTTTACCCCCTTAGGGCTACCTGACACCAGTGCACCATGTGCCTGTGCCACTCCCTCCTGCGTCCTTATTCCACCACCCAGCCCTGGTCTCCCGCCTCTGTTCCTCGTGTGCTCGTGAATACCTGCACCGAGTCATATGCGCAGTTCTCTGACAGCTCGATGTCCACGTGGGTGAAGTAGAGGTGAATCCCGTACCCTTCGGGAACTTCTATATTCCAAGATTTCTCTACCTCGTTGGGGTATGCCTGGGGATAGTTAGGGGACAGGATCTCCCCATACATGGTAGGCTCGGCACAAACTGATGCCAAAAGAGAAAACAGGACAACGCACCTGAAAAAAAAGGCAGAGAGAGGTGGGTGACCCAAGTACTAGCAGCCTAGAGCAGAGCTCTCACCTTTGTCACAGGCGCAAGGAAGGGGAAAGGAGTAGGGTGGTCAACAGGCCATGGAGGAGAATCTCAGGTTGGAATACTGAAAAGGCTTAGGTCAAACCAAAAACCAGGCTCGGATAGGAGCCCTTTTCTTGAGAAGATGAAGGGAACGGAGACCACGTACATCTCCAGAGACCTCCACCACTTACCACATCTCTGGCGATGTGTCCGTCCTGGTGAGCTGCCCGCCTCTTGGTGCCAGCTCTCTGCACCTCTGGACTTTGGAGCTGAAGGGGTGGCAGGCCTGGATGTACTTATCTGACAAACACAGGCACCTGTTTTGGTGGTGACAGGTCACCTGCGGTTCAGTGTCACCTTCGTGAGAAGAACACAGAGGTTAAGCAGAGCCGTGTCACTAATTATCACCACAGGGCACCAGGCCCCTCACACCCTCCCTGGTCTGACCGCAATTAATTTGCAAGACGAGAACTAAATCTATCCTTCTCCCATTTCTTCTCTGGACCTTGTCCCGGTTTTCCTCTGCTCTCCTCCTCCACCCCACCCCCGTTCTATCTGCCTCTCTCCTGCCCTCACAGAAAAATGTCCCCATTTCCACCCGGTTTTCAGGGGTCTGTGCACATCATGACCGTCCGTCTGGGACAGTCCTCCCTCCCCTTCCACAGTGACCCCTTATGGCTGTGAACCTGCTCCCTTTGCTGTGTTTTTACTGCATGTATCTCTGCTGATGCTCCCAACGACCATTGATGGAGGCGTGAGCTTCTGTCACTAGGGGAAGGCAGGGACCTTGGGACAAGTGGCCAGAGAAGGGGAGTGCTGCCCCACTGAGGCAGGCTTGCGTGGGGAAGGACAAAAGGGGCAGCCAAGTGACAAGGAGCATGACAGAAAAGGAGAGGTGGGAAAGGGCAGGTCCCGCATGAGTTTTCCAGGGTTTCTTTGGTTTTTTCCCCTTTACTAAAAAGACAAGTTATCTTCCCACAGTTCCTAGAAAAATCTTCCAAAAATTGTTTTTAACCCTGGAAACAGCGGTTGGTAGGAGGGTGAAGTGGGGATGCACGGGGCGAGCCTAAGAGAAAGAGGTTGTCTATATTCAGTCGTTTTTGATTCTGCCCTTTTCGGAGCTCCAGCTTTGCCCTAACCCTCCTGCGTGAGGTTTTCTGCCTTTCTCTTCTCCTCCATCAAAGCTCTGCTCTTTGTTTTTAAGGTTTTACCTTCAGAAGCTGATGGGAGCAAGCGGGCCAGTCCTCTCGCTCCTGCCAGTGGGCATGCTGGGTGACCCTGCCAGCTCCCAGCGACGGCAGCACCGGGCCTGGATGCTCCCTCTGCAGGAACCTCCCGCTGGCCTCCCCGTCCCGGTTCTGTTCACGCGATTCCCTACCAGAGTGTGCATGTCTGAAATTCTCTGATCTAAACAGAGGGGGCTGGGAGACTGTGATATGGGGAAAGGGTAGCTCAGCCTTGATCTTGGAGCTCCCTCTGCTTTTGAAACAAGGACAGCATCCTCCTCCCCTGGCGTGACATTCCTCTAGCCAGGGCTCCAGAGGAGAAAGGAGGAATGGGGAATTTCACCGATTGCTTAATGCTCTTTTTCAGCCAAAGGGTGTGTTTCAGAGTTTTCAGGGAAGTCAGGTGATTTGTGGGAAAAGGAGGGGATTGATACTAAAGGGGAAAGCCAAACTCAGAAGGTCCAACCCTCCAGTTGCGTATGAATCATGAATTAAGGGAGCGTAATTATCAGAAATGCAAGTCATCTCTGCTTTAAGGCATATTTAATGGTTGGATAATGACTTACATCTAGACCCAAGCTGGTATGGGGTGATGCTTTTTCCTCTCCCTAAAATCCCTTCCACATCTCCAAACATCTAAATTCTACCCACTGGGCCAGGTGCAGTGGCTCACACCTGTAATCCCAGCACTTTGGAAGGCCAAGGTGGGAGGATCACTAGAGGCCAGGAGTTAGAAACCAGCCTGGACAACATAGTGAGACCCCATCTCTGCAAAAAACAATAAATTAGCCAGGCCTGGTGGTGCACACCTGTAGTCCCAGCTACTTGGGAGGCTGAGACAAGAAGATCACTTGAGCCCAGGAATTCAAGGTTGCAGTGAGCTGTGATCAAACCACTGCACTCCTGCTGGGGTGACAAAGCAAGACCCTATCTCTAAAAAAATAAAAATTAAAAATAAATAAATTCTACCCACCAGTCAAGCCCCATTTCAGATACAACCCCATATCTATAACTCTTGGGTCCAGATGTGTTTTGAAATACAGAATTTTATAGACTTTTAAAAGGCAATACAGTACACGGACCCAAAATAGATAACACCTGCTCCTCCACCTGCCCCCAGGGACTGGGATAACACTCCACTGTCAAACATTGATATGTCTGCAGCTAAACATATTAATCTTCACAGTAAGTGGAATAAGTAAAGATTATAAATTACTTTACATCGGTTCAGGTCAGGTTTTGTTGACAAATGAGTTTTGGTGCCAAATTTGGAAAAGAAAAAAAAAACTACTTTTTTTCAGAGTCCTTTGGAGTTCAGAATTGCAGATAAGGGCCTGCGGGCCTGTGCGATCCCTCCACAGAGCCTCCCCGTCCCTCAGGCCTCCTCTGTGTCCCTTCTACTCCCATCTTAGTGGCTGCATTCTGATAATCTAAGATTCATCAACTGAAGATGCTCCATTATTTTATATCGCACCAGGAACAAAAAAGCTGCAATTAAACGATGATATGCCAGGGATCGTAAGATGCATCCTGATCCCAGGAGTGAGAAAACGTGGGGGGAAATTGTTTGCCTTAGAAGCGGAGAAGCGTGGTATCTGTGCGCAAGTCTTACCCCTGGTTGGCTCAGCACCCGCCTGGAGTCAGAGACAGGTTCCAGTCCTCGCCCTGCTGCTCACCAGTGGCGAGGCCTTAGGCCCATCACCTAACTTCCCAGCGTCTTCAAAGATAAAACAGAGATCATATCAGTTCTGCTACCCCACATGGCTGTCGGGGAACCTAATAAAACCATCAGAGTGAACAAACTTTGCACACTATGACGCCGAATAAATGTGCCTGTGAAAAGGAAGATAATTGTGAGCGGTAAGGTCTCTGACGGCAGGCTCTGGGTCTGATCCATCTTTGTATTGCCCGCCATGTCCAACAGTGTCACACACGCAGTAGACATACATGCAACCACGTGTTGTTCCTCCGGCTGCCTACCATCAAACCCCTTTGCCGCATTTGGGGAGTTCCTCGTCATATGAGTCTTGGGAGCTGAGCCAACCTCCCAAGAGAGAAGATGAGGGTGCAGGAAACATGTCCCAACTCCACCCCAGCAGCTCTGGAGCAGGCCCACGCACGCACGTGGCATTCATCACAGGCCCAGGCTTTGAATCCAGAGGCGGAGATGCCAAGAAGTAGGGACCACAGAGCCCCTGGGGACAGTGGCAGCTGCAGCAAGATGGAGGAGGAGGTGATGTTCACAGCAGCACCCAGATTCCAGCTGCAGTGGGTGGGCATTGCAAGCCAAAGAGTCTGGGACAGGACCAAGGCAGTGGCAACAGAGGCAGCCGGGTTCTGACCACGGTCCCTGCTGTGAAGCTTCCACACGCGGCTCTCCTGGCATTTCTGTGAGTAATTCAGAATCACTTTACTAAATTCCTCTTCTGCTAAAATCAACCAGACTTGGTCTCTGTTGCTTGCACTAAGAACAATGGCTGACACAACATGCTGAGTGAGTACCTAAGAAATGGCTGATCGAATGAACGAGCCAAAGTGAATTCTAACCATTCACTAGACGCTTTCAGCTGTGCCACCTTGAAAAAGTTACTTTGCCTCTCTGAGCTTCGGCTTCATCATGTGTAAAATGGGAATAATATCACCTACTATCAGACACAGCTATTACTGTCAGGGCCTATTGCGGCCAAGGCTAAACAAAATAATGTACGCTAAGCATTAGCATTTATCTGATACTCAGTAGTCAGCCTTTAATAAATAACAAACGACATTATCTCCAAACACCACCAGCAGCAGTAGCAGCAGCTGCATCCTCATCAAGAGCATGCTTCAGTACATAGCAAGGAAAAAAAGGGCATCTTATCAAATTGTCCAGGGCTTTTTCTCCTTTTCCTTCTGAGTTCAACACTGCCTGATCTTGCCGGTAGAGTTAGACTCTCTCCTACCCTCTCCTGCATTTTGTCTTCCCGTCTGCAATTTTGCCATCAAAGTGAAATATATTCTTTCTCTCTCTAAATCTCAAGAAGACAACAAATCACATATGTAACGGTACCTCAGGCCCCTGCCTCCTTCCCCAGTTCAGCAAGAACTAAGGCCAAGACCTCTCACAATGACAGCCTAGAAAGAGCAGGGGGCATGTTACATAATCTGCCCAGTACTATGGGGATTCATTAAAACGAGGTGCTTATTATCACCCTGAGGGTCACCCGAACCCCAGCTGATGTGATAATGCCGATACACAAACCAAAAATTAAAACCTTACATGTTAATATTAACCAATGACACAGGTGTATATAAATATGAATAGGATATTTAGAAAATAATCACTAGTGTTACTCAGAGTAACTATCGTATTCACAATGTTAGGGTCTCCGAGGGGCCTAAATAAATAGCATCCCTCTTCCCCTTTCAAGTTCTAGAGAAATGGAGAAATAAAACAAAAGCAGCAAATGAGGTCAAAATATTACCTTCGATAGCAATAAAGGCCAAGATAGAGGAAGTAGCTTAGTGTAGAAGCCAAATGGGGGCTAACCGAACCCTAGACTTAGACAGAATTACCCTTCTAGACACAGGCAACGCTGGGCCAGGCGAGGCCTCCCCACGTAGAGAACACACCTCCCTGCAGACAGCTTTCTCCCAGGAGGAAGGAGGGCTAAGCCGGTTACTCTTCCCATCTTCACAGTTGGAGAAGTTACTCCACCTTCCCAGGCAAAGTGAGGGACGGAGAGTGGCAGGGAGAGTCATGCCAGGGAGCTGTCTCTCCCCTTCAGGAAAGATCTGTCAGTACTAATAGGAACATTTCTCCACTAACATTCCCAAGGTTTTTCTTCTTGAACCTGATAGTCTTGACAGTTAAGACGATATGATCACCCAGGGCACAGCCGTCCACCTGCAGGAGGTGATCAGGAAGCTAACAGGGGCAGCCCTGCTCTCGCACTCATAGAGCCACACACCAACGCCACCCACCGCTCCTCTTCTGTGTCCTCCACACCATCGGCCCCAAAGCTCCAAAGTGATTCTGAACAATATGGCAACATTAAATATATTCTTCATCCAAGGAAATTCACTTCCTGTTCCATTTCCCATCTTAAATGTCATCCAGCCATGTTATCTAAGATAGCTATCGGAGATCTGAAATGAGATTTAAAAATGGCATTAAGAAGCTCACAGGCTGGGCGCCTGGGCTCCTAGCAGTCTTGGAGGCTGAGGTCGGAGGATCGCTTGAGTTCAGGAGTTCAAGACCAGCCTGAGCAAGAGCAAGGCCCCCGTCTCTACTAAAAATAGAAAAAATTAGCCAGGCATGGTGGTGTGTGCCTGTTGTCCCAGCTACTCGGGAGGCTGAGGCAAGAAGAACGCTTGAGCCCAGGAGTTTGAGGTTGCAGTGAGCTATAGTGACGTCACTGCACCCTAATCTGGGCAACAGAGGGAAACTGTGTCTCAAAAAAAAACAAGGAAGCTCCAACAATGAAATGCCAATAATAAAGAAGTGTCTCTAATTTGAACAATAACAGAAAACCCTCTCATTATCAAACTCCAAAATTAAAGTTCAAATCCCATCGCAAACTAAAACTAAGACATTACAGTCAAAAGTAACTGAAGTCCAAAATTTCTATGTTAAAGTCACAAGACCATCAATCCCAATCTGTATTTGTATTTAATCTCAGCTAGAGGGTCTCCAACGCCCTGGCAGAGGTGTGGTTCTTTCAGTAGCTGCAGCCTGGGCTGGACTGGGTTAGTTCCTCCAAGCTTCCAGAGACAGGGTGAGTCCCAAGGCCACCTTCCAAGAAACTCGGTTTGTAAAAGTCCAAAATAGTTAATGAGACACAAGAATATCACAACACTAGCCCCACAACCACAAAATTTAGAAAACGAGGCACTCCCAGACCCCAAAGCAATCATCCCAGACAAAATTAAAATTTTATGTCCAGAACACAGTACTTAATGTTGCCAAAGCCTGAAGAAGAAATTCAACACTATCTGAAGGAAGGAGGAAAAGAAAAATTTTTTAAGGCAAGCACGAGGTGAAATTTACTGAGGGGGAGCAAGATAAGATTATAGAGCAAGAGCAAGACAGGTTTACAGAGCAAGATACATACTCCACAGATGCCACAAGACCCCTTGTCACAGTAAAAGAGGAGAAAATCTTAATCTTACTTAAAAACCTCACCTTGATGCCAGACAGCCT